TGTTGCCTGTTTGGAAAATGGAGACTAATATTGTAACTAACAGCTGACTGATGGGAAGGTGAGGAGGAGGAAATACTTCTGCTACAACAGTCAAGTACTTCCCAGTTACACAGTTGTAACACATGCAAGAAGTCAGACTCTAATTTCAAGGAAATGCTGGCTGATGAGTAGAGCTAGTCACAAATTTTATGAGGAAATAGTTTTTCCACCTGAATTTGCTGATTCCATTACAACTAGGTAGGTATGTACCCTGCTCCTTGGGTCCACAGGCTGCCTGCTTCTCCAGGATGCCAAACTTCTGGTTCCTTGCCCCGCAGGGTCCACCACAGCTCCCAGCCAGCATCTCTCCAGGCTTGTCCAAGTGGTGGGTGGGCAGGTTGGCCAGCTTGCTGGGTTATCTAATTCACTGGCTCCTTATATTGCCTGATGAGTGGGGGAGTTGGAGGCAAGTTGGGTGGGGAGCCAGTGGGGCACCCTGTTTTGATTCTTCTGAAATGAAATTCTTAAAAGGTATTTCGAGAAGCAGACAACTTTATTTTCAACTTTTTGTTCCTGTTCAGCGTGCACCATTTTCTTCCGTGCAATGGAAATCCCAGCTCCTGCTCAGCTCTGCTGATGAGTCATGAGGCAGCTTGCATAACAGCACCTGGCTGACAATGACTCGTGGCACATATGTGAATGTGCAATAACCGATAGGGATCATCTTGACTCCTGCATCACAGCATGTGAGTATATCAGCTGTTGGTATGTCTGTGAAGTTTGACATGCTCTCAATTACATTGTGAAAGCCTGTAAGGTACCAATGTATAAACACTATGTAGAAAACCCTATGGTTAATTTGCATTCTCCTTCTGTCTATGAGGGGCAGCTATGCTGGAGGGTGTGGGGGTGAGCATTGATTCCTGGAGGTGATCATGGGAGATGGCACCTTTGAAATCTAGAGTTCCATAAGATTGCCACTGACAGTGGCTGCTAGTAAGAGCCACCAAATCAGTACATCTATTCTCCAGTCTGGCCCTATAGTAACTGGGCCTGGGACACCAGGTTTGGGCTTCTGGACTCTCTGGAAAAGACAAGATTGTGAACGCTTTGTACTGCTGTTCTTCAGTTCCAAGCAGACTTATTGCATTGCTGGGCCTAGCTGGAATCTACTTTGCTCAATGGCCACCTTACATCTCGCCTCTGAGTTAAAGTGGATAAGCAAAACGGTCAACTTGGGTGTCTGAATATAGGCCCAAAAATTATTTGCTATCAAGGTTTTCAGTGCTCAGGGTTCGTTTTTCCTTTAACTGCAGTTAAAGAATATACCAAGTTCTTGGATTTTGAGAAATAACATATAGAAAGGGTGATAGTTCTAGATGCCTCAGAACATTGTATGAATCAAGGAATGCAAGGGATTGTGAAGTCCTGGAACTGCATCCAAGAGAATTTATGAGCACTCTACCACAATATAAATTCTTAGAATGTCAATCACACTGTGGGTTTTATGAGTTTCTGGAGCATCTACAAGTAAATAACATACACTTAAGCATGATAAAAGACATTGGGAGACAGTACAGTAAACCCTTAAAGCCACATGGATGAATTTTCATCTAGCTTTTCTGTAGTATCAATTAAAAAAATGTCATTGCCTTGACTCTGTTGCCCTAGAACTGGCATGCTTGTCAATCAGGTGAATCTCCAGCAGCCCTTTCAGGGCAGTATGGCAGCTCTTCTGTGCCATGAGAATGTCACAAGTGGATTGGATGAAGTACCACAGATTTGGCCCAGTATTAATCTAGGGGGATAGACCTAGCCTTTCTCACCTCACATGTCAGTGCAACCTTCCAAGTCTTCTGAGCCCCAAGAATAATCCATTGGTACTTATTTATTCTGCACAAGTGAAGGCATGCCCAGTGGTTCTGGTATTGGCCTTCACCAGCCCACATTGAAGGACAGCTCTTCATATACGTTTTCAGTAATGCAGAATCTATGGAGATTGTCACATAGGGTATGTCTACACTGCAACACTATTTTGAAATAACTAGCGCTATTCTGAAATAACTTAGTCCATGTCTATACAGCAGGCAGTTATTTCGAAATATGTTGAAATACTGTCAAGCTGGAGGATTTTTTTACTCTGACTCCCTGTAACCCGCGTTGTACGAAGAGTAATGGAAATCAGAAGAAGAGTGCTTTATTTCAAAGTAAGTGCTGTGTAGATGTTCCCTATTTCGAAATAAGATACACAACTGACGTAGCTCAATTTGCGTAGCTTATTTCGAGTTAAGCCTTGCAGTGTAGATGCACCCCTAGTTGTTTATTGCCTTGATGCATAGGCAGAATCTGGTACTTTGATTATGACCTACAGTTTACTACTGTTCATTCTCTTTACATAAAACTATTAACTACACTGATGTTACAATTAGGGCTAGATTCTCTCATCCTTATTAAGGACTATTTGCAAAGTAGGTTACTCCTTGGTGTTAAAAGGGTGGTAGAATTGGACCCTTAATGCAAGAACAACTTGTTTCAAAAATTATTTTAAAAATATCAGAAAATTTCATTTCAGAATTTCAATATTTTTATTTTAGATTTTCTTTTTAGGATTTTAATTATATTTACATTATTTCATGATATCAGTAGTAGTAACATATCATGTGCACTACTACTACTGATGCCATAATATGACATAAAAAAAGCTGAAATACTCTTATTTATATTGAAAATTAAGAGCAGCTGCTACTTAGCTTGAAACTTTGTTTAGCTCGGAATGTCTCCTGTTTGTGTTGTAAAAGGGAATCAGTTTTATACTTTGTGTCAAATCATTACTGCTGCGTGTATGAAGGCCTTCAGCATTTCCTCTTAGGCTACGTCTACATTGCGGCCTTCTTCCGCAAAAGCTTATGCAAATGAAGCACGGAGTAAAATATCGCTGTGCTTCATTTGCATAATTAATTAGCATCTGTTTTTGCACAAACCTCCCCTCTTGCGCAACAGCCATTCTTCCTCATTTTTTCAGGAAGAACGGCTCTTGCGCAATAGGGAGCTTTTGCACAAAAAGGAGCCATCTTCACAGCTCCTTTTTGCTCAAAAGCCTCTTGCGCAAAAATGGATGCTAATTAATTATGCAAATGAGGTGCAGTGATATGCTACTCCGCGCTTCATTTGCATAAGCTTTTGCGGAAGAAGGCTGTAATATAGACGTAGCCTCAGGGTATGTCTAACTACATTTTTGGGGGGGGGAGGAACTGCCCTTTTTTCAAAAAAACTTCACCTGCGTCCACACTGCAATTGAGTTCTTTTGAAATTAAACTGAAAGAAGGCAGGGCTTTTTTGACATTGGTAAACCTCAAATTATGAGGAAGAACGCCTTTTTTGAAAGAGCTCTTTTGAAAAACGGCACGTGTGGACGCAGAACAGAAACATTTTTTGAAAGAAAAGGTAGTTGGAAAAAAAGCATAGGTGCCTGGTGGCCATTCTGTGAATAGCAATCAGGGCTTTCTTTCGAGAGAGCGTCCATGCCGTCTGGACGCTCTCTTTTGAAAAAGCAGATTGCTTTTTTGATCTGGTTTTGAGGTGTGGACGCGCTCTTTCAAAAGAAGCTTGCAGTCCAGACGTACCCTTATAGTGCCGTCCAGCACAGCTTCGAGCCTTCTTTTTGCTGGAGCCTCCTTTAGATGAGTTGATGCCTCCACCATCTTCCCTCATAGCATTCCTTGGCATGTTTGCCAAGCTCTCTCTTATATTTCTGTCCAGTTTTCCTCTGTTCTGTCCTTTCTGTTTTTATTCTACTTTCTCCCTTCTCATCTTTGTTCTCACCAGTGTGTTCTCCCCTTCCTGCTTTCTTTCCTTTATATCAGGATGGCCACACTATGTCTCATGAGCCCCATGTGGCTCCTCTACAGTTAAAATGCTGCTCAGAGAGCCCCCTGCATCAATTCCTCCATTCGCCTCTTACCAGACTGTGTGAAGGGAGCTTGGGTCCCCTGCCTTGCAGCAGGGTGTTTGGGTAGGAGCTTCTGCCCAGCAAGAAGGGGGACTTGGTCCTTCAGCCCCTGGGAAATACCTGCCTGCTGAAACTCTAAGCCCCAGCAGGCACCAACTGTGGGTCAGAAGCCTTGAGCCCTGGCAGGCCGCTCCAGTTCTTGAACTTCTGAAGATTGTTGTATGTGGCTTGTAGAGTTAGTAAGTTTGGACACTTCCTACTTTATAGCCTCCTTTTAACTGTTCTTGACTCCCTCTTTCAGGTAGCTCCCTCTCCCCCTCCCCTATTAGTGGATGTCCAATGGTGGTTCTGGGCCACATGCACCTTCATGACTGAGCTTAATGATGCACAGTTAAGACTAATTTGGCTGTTGGGCAGCTGCATGGGGCTTAGTACTGTACACAGGAACTCCTACAACAGCTGCTTTAGAGACTACCATGGGAGCAGTGAGGAAAGGCGAGTGCTTTCAAGGCACCATCCAGTGCTTTACCCTGTGGCTGCTTTCCCCGCCCTCACTGGGTTTTTTTTTTTCCTTTGTCCCACATGTACCTCTGAACTAGCCTGGTACCACCTCTTCTAGGGATCCCACCCGTCAGCTTAGGGAAATCCTGTGATACTGGTGAACAGAGAGATTCAAAACTTAAATTAAAAAAGTCCCTAGTACAGAATGGGCTGAGCTGAGTTTTTGGGTGTTTAGAAGTTTCACCATAGACATCTGTGGGTGGGATTCAGGGATTTCTTCCCAGCCTCATTCTTCTGGGAAGGGCTGTGCTTTTTGGAAGTGTTTGGGAGAGACCATTATAGGTGGGCATGATCTGGCTAATGAGCAGGCAGTGGAGAGGTTAGGGGCAACCCCTCTGAACTTGGCAGTAGGCACTTACTGATTAACCAGGCTCATTGCTGCATCTTTCCCTTTGCCCAAGTACTGAGTGTGTTACTGGAGCACACGTCAGCAGACTGTTTTCTCTGCATATAGGTGTCGGGGTGGATCACGGGGAGTCTATAAATTATACCTGCCCTTCTGGGTGTATCAGTGTAAAGACAACAAGCTCAGTGTGCGCCTGGCAGCCAGCAGCCCTGTTGCTCAAAAGTCAGTTTGGATTTTGCCATCACCACAGCAGCCTAATTTGCAATTAATGGCGAACACTGCGAGTAAGGTAAGGAAATTGCCAGTATCCTTTGTGACTGTCAGAAACCCTGCTGCTCTGAGGACTGGTCAGGTAACTTCCGAGCCCTCAGCGCACTCAAACTGGATACTGTGAGATGCAGATGTGAATGCCTGTAGTAAAATGAAGCATTTTTTAGTCCTGCCTTAGCTTCAGGGTAAGTTCTGATGAGGATTCAAGTGTCTTTCAGTACCTTCCCAATCTTCATGGAAGTTCTTCGCGTGTGAGCTTGTGGTCTCCACTAACGAGTGTCTGTCATTGGTGGGGGGAGGGGATAAGTCCTATCTTTTAACTAAAGAGAAACAGAATTGTTAACAGTCTGAATTATTTTCTTTCAGGAGTATTAAGAGAGCGTGACAGATACATAAGAAACAAGACTACAGCATAGTGAAGGCAGTACAGACAGTGAATTATTTCAAAGCCAATATCCCAGACTTTATACCTAATTTAACAAAAAAGAAAAAGGGGCATTCTGAAGTTTTAAATAAATTAAAAGGGACAGTGTTGTGTGCTGCAACTTGAGGAGAATCATTGATAATCATGTACTATGTATAGTATTCTCACACACACAAAATCCGTCAAGGTTGCAATACATATCAATGTCTTGAAAGTTTAACTTTCAGAATAATAGGTGAAAAACAATTCAAACATTACGGATACCTTTTGCCACTCTGAAAGGGTGTGGACCGATTCATTTAGGGTACCTATAATTAAGTTTGAATCAGCTGCCTATTATACCAGTTAGTGCTTTTTATAAAAAGCATCTGAAGGAGCATCTGAATTTTTTAGCATCTTGAAGGGGCAATTATAGTTAGATACCAGGAAATAGTGGTTTAATTTTAAAGTTAGAGTTCTTTAGAAATCGTAAATACTTCATAACATCTAGAGAATTATCTCTACTGTTCTTATAGTCTAAATGCACTTCCATGGTTTATGTGGAAGTTCTGCTCATGGTTACTGTGCAAAGTGATGATATAATTATGATTTGCTATTCCCATCAGTGCATTTCTCTGGGTATTAGCTCTAGTAATGCTAGAGCTGGACAAAATTTTCTGATGGGACATTTTTTCTGTCAGAAAATGCTATTTTGTTGAGCTTAACGTTTTCTATAGACATGTGTTGATACCAATGACATTTCATTTAGAAAAAAAATAAGAGATTTGTTCTGATTCTGGATCAAAACAAATTTTGCAATCAGGCAATTTCCTGTGATAGGGAAATTCCTGTTCCCACTTAGCTGTAGCAATCACTTCTTGTTAGTTTTTATTTCTTAGGATGTTATGTCTCATTCTGAATTTGGCAAACAGCCTTTCACTTTATAATGAACAGAACCAAAATCTCAGAATCAAAAAATAATGATGAATATGCTAAATGACTCCATGTGGTGTAAGTTTTATTGCTTATATCCTTTCCCTCTATCTAGTAGGGGAGAAAAATTGGAAGGAAGCAGTTGTGCCAAGCTAAAAACCACCGAATAGAGGTTTCCACCACTTGATAAGACCTATCGATATACCTGTTTTGCTTCCTGGAGGCTGATGAAAGGTCAAGAGAAAAATCTTCTTCACAGGGCGATGACGTTATACCACAGGGATGGCTTTGGCCCAAAGGGTTACTCAGCTTTTGATGAGATGAAGGTGAAATATGGCCTATGTTCCCATCTTGGTTTCCAGCATGTACACATTCGGACTTTATTTCCAGGTTTGATTGTAGAAGTTAGGCTCCCGACTGGACTTTGTGTGCTGTGAAATTAACTGTCATAGAAGAAACAACAAATAGTAGACACAATAGAGAGTCACTTAGATCTTGAAATCAAGAGTTTGATGTAGAAATTCCAGTCTATTTCCAAATGGTTTTTCCTTGTCCTATATCCAAGGAAGGTCTTAGCAGGCTCTTCACTGTTAATTGGTCGAACGAGCAAATCAATACTTCCCTATGGACAGAGAAGCTGTGGGGAAGTGGCCATTCACCTAAATTGCTGGTAGAGCTGACATTTGATATAAAATTTTTGGTTGTTTATTTTATCCTAAGTGTCCTGTTTTCCTTTGTTAAAATTCAAAGGTTTTGATTTTAGATGGCCTACTAGAGACAGTGTCTGTAGCAAAAGAGAGGATTGATTGCCATCTTTTTGGTGCTAGAAGGCATAAGAATGGCTGTTCTAGAAGCTGGGAAGCAGAACCAGCAAATAAATAGCACTGTATCCCAGATGTACGGGGGCAGCATGATGGAAGGCATGAAGCCATGAACAGGAAAAGGAAACAAAGAGCCAGCCTGTCCTTGGGCTTTGTGGAGGAGGAAGGTGGATGGCTTTACAAGCAGGACATGGTACTTGCAGGCTTGTACAGCTTGTCCATTATCCAGCAGCACTCTGGGGAGCTTAGAGAGGGTACAATATAGCACAATAGGCGCAGTAAGGCCAGGGGACTGAAGGGAGAGAAGGTAGTGAGAGGATAAGTTGGACTAAATTCTGTTCTGTTCTGCAGTTTCATGCTCTACGTTGATCACTATAATACCTCAGCACCTTCTGTTAGTGTGGTAAGCAATATGACTAACATCTGTCATATGTTGTCTGTTCTCTCCTCCTTCTCCCAGAGGGAGAAGTGTGTGCAATGCAGTGTTTTGTTTTGGCAGAGGTGTTTTAAAGGTACCAATTGCTCTGCTCTTATGCTACAGAAGACAAGGTCAAAGAAATGTGCCTGGCACATAGAGTTGAAGGTGATAAAGTTTGTGATGGTCCTTAGTCCCTAGGGTAGTTCATTCTACAGCTTGGATTGGTCGTTGAGAAAGCTGTCTTCTGCACAGATGAGCTTTGCTCTTATTGTGCCCAGGACTTTAGGATCTGGCAGCTTCAATGGATGCTCATAGGAAGATTCTCCTGGCCCGCTATAGAGTCTCACAAAGTCTACGAAGACTTTGTTTTGATTCTGCCTATATCAGCCCCTGTTTTTCACTGTGAAGTGCTCAACCTTCTTCCCTTTTCTCTTCACCAAGTGCAGGGTGTCATAAACCCAGGAGATCTGTGTGGGAGATGGGAAGGAAGGAGATATTTGGGGACCATTGTGTTGACGGTTCAAGTCAGTGTAGAACGGTAATTCACCAAATCCCTGATTCTTCGTCCTGCAGGTAGAGATGAGTACCAGAACAGATTTTATGGTGGGGGAGATGAAAGTTCTTGAATAAAACCTAAAACATGATGCATGGTGGAAGCTGTGCATTTGGTTGCTATTATTAGTTCAAGCTGCTGCTGCATCTTCAGTGCCCTTGGTGGAATGCTGCTGTATTTTAGCAGGCTTTGAAATTTTTTGGAGTCTATGAGTCTTTGTGTTCAAATCAGGATTGCTGGTTTGTCTTATTGCCTGGGAATTGGTAGATATCTGACTTCTGCCTTAATGAGTTGGCTGGGTTATGATGCCTTCAGTCTTGTTATGTAGGCTGAAGATCATGCTCACGGTGGGACTGGCTGCATGTAATGGAGCAGAGCAGACCTGTCAAAGTTCTAGAGAGGCAAGTGAGATGAGTTGAGGAGATTCTGTTCTGTATAGAGTCTTATATTGCCTTCATCACAATAGTATCGGAGTGCCTTCTAGTGCAGCATTAAGTTGTGTGAATACCTTTTGTCACACGTTGTTTGTTCTTGTGATGGGTTGAATCACAGAAGTCCCCTTTAGAGTTGTCTCCCAATGTACTTAATCAAACCACTAAATGTCCACCGTCCTGCCCTCTGGGGCTTTCTGACACCCTGTGCTGCTAGGCCAGGAGCTCTGGTCTCCTCCAGCCAAAGCACAGAGTTGGGGTAACTATCCGCTTGCAGAGCAACACAGATACTGAACCAGTTCAGCTCTGGGAGAGCTTAGCTATAAGGCTTCAGCACCCAGGAACACAGCCCCCCCCCAAAAGAACCAAAACCCCAGATAAATCCGTCTTGCTCTGTAAAAGTTTTACACAGAAAAAGTTTGTAAGTCCACTCCCTTTATCAGTGAAAGAGAGATATGCACAGTGGTTGCTCTCCCCCAGGTAACAGTTATTTACACTGGGCTCTGTAATAAACAAAAATGTTTTAATAAAAACAGTCAGATCAAAGTAAGTTACTAAGTTAAAATAAACAAAAACATCAGCTCATTCTAATATACTAAGAAACTTGTTACATGCAAATTTTTACCCTAAACAATTGTTCTAAACATCTCTTTCACAAGTTAAGCAGCCTCCTCATTTGGTCCAATCCTTCCCCGTTTAATCTTAGATGTTTCCAAGAGGCATCTTAGGTGGTAAGTTGGGGGTGGGGAGTCTCCTGGCATCTGGTCCCCCTATTATTTGCCTCTCCCCCTTACATGACTGTTGTCTAAGGTGGGAATTTTTGTGCTCAGTTCAAATTTTTCTCACCTTGAGTGGAAAAGTACAAGAAGATTCAACATGGGTTTCAGCATCAGGTGTCTTGGCCACATGTCCTGGCATGATCAAGCACAATCCAGCCTTACAGGAAAAACAAAAGCCTTCATAGATCATTGACTTAATTACCAAGTCATTACGTTTCTGGAGCATCAGTAATGGCCTCATTAGCATATTTAGAATTATAAACAGTACCACACTTCATACTTCTAACTTCCCCTACAAAAATGATACATGCACCAAAATAGGATAAACAGATTCAGCAGATTGTAACATTAACATTGATGTTACATGAGGTATTTTGTCTAAAGCATCTTTGAGTTATGTATATTAATATTCCTAAGCCAATTTTCATAAAGCATGTCAGGGGGGTAGTGGCAATTCTCTTTCTCGTCTTTTCCCCAGGTGGTGAACTGTATGTACTCTGTAGTGCCAGGTTTGTTTAGGTAAAGTTCTGGGCTTGTTTGAGGAGATGGGTTGAACAAACATGAATTTGGAACAGAAGGTGATGAGGTTTGTGATAGTTCTTGGCTCCTGCAGGAGTTTGTTCCACAGTCTTGGGTCAGTCCTCAAGAAAATCTTGTCTTCTGCACAGATGAGCTTTATCCTTATTGTAAAGAGTTCCTTTGGGCCAGAGGAGTGGACTTGCTAACTCTGGTCTTTATCCCTGAGTGGTAGGTGATCTTTAGATACATTGGTCCCAAGCCACTGAGCTCCTTGAAGAAAATGACAGACTTTGAATCGGACTTGATATCAACACAAGTAAATGATAAACCCCTCCTGCTAACTTATTTCTCAATCACTGTGGACATCACTATAATTCTCTTGGTCATTCAGGGTCCTAACCTGTGCATCATTTTTGACTCGGACTTTTCGGTAGCTCCTCTCATCTAAGCTATGTCTAGGCCTTTTGGGGGCATTTCTACATTAGGAAATTATTTCAAAATAACTTATTTTGAAATAATAATGCCCAAAATAACTATTTTTAAATAGCATATCTACACTACAGGGAAGACTTGAAATTAGTCGGAGGCACACTCCCTTAATGTGGATGTGCTATCTCGAATTAGAGCCCCAGGAAGCACTGAGGAGTAATTACTCTGAATGACACTGGGAAGTAGTTATTTTGAAATACCGTATATTCCGGCGTACAAGACGACCTCTGATGTTAAAAAACATCCCCCAAAAATCGGGGGTCGTCTTGTACGCCGGATGCCCCACCGCCGGAGCCCCTCCGCGGCTTTGAAAGCCTCGGAGGAAGC